CTGCAGCAGCAGGGTAGCAGGGTCCCTGTGCTCGTGGGGAGGGCAGCGTGCCCCCTGGTACTGCTCCTCCTGCTCTGTCCCCCACACCATGGGCACAGAGGGACTGGGAGTGGGGCCGCCCTGAAGCCCTGCACTGCCCGAGGGTGGCTGTGTGGTATCCACAGTGTTTCTGCAACTGCAGCTCTTGCTGCCATGTGAAGAGATCACGTCACTGCCCCACAGCTGGCGAGGGGCAGGCTGGCCGTCCCTTCCCCTGATGGGTCTCTGGCAATACACCTGCATAAAGCCACGTGTGATCACCCAGCCTGGCTGGTAGCATGGAAAAGTCTTCACCCAGCTGATGGCAGCGTTTAACAGAGCCAGAGCTCTCTGTGTCGAGGTAAACAGCTTATTGTAAAACTATGTGTAGAAGAGAATCACCAAGAGAAGAATCTTTGACATTCATCAGATGCCCCTATAGAAGTTGCCCCGCATACACTCAGATGCTAGGACAAGACCACCCCAGACATCACACTGCTCAGGATGAACCCTGCCATGGCGTTGGCTCAGGCCAACCAGCAGTTTTTGCAGTTGCCAGCCCGGCACAGCTCTGTATCAGATCACCCCTCTTTGCAGGTGGCCCCACACCTTGCAGGGTGAGTTTCTGCAGTGTAAACTCAACTGTGCAGTGCCCCAACCCCTCTACGCCCAAGAGCATCTCATATACAGAGCCTTGGGTGACATGGTCTAGAATGAGGTGTCCCTGCCCATGGCAGGAGGGTTGGAACTAGATCATCTTAAGGTCCTTTCCAACCCAAACCAGTCTGTCATATACAAAGGTAAGTGTAGCCTAGGAGCTAGCACCAGGACCCTCAGCCTTCACTGCTGGGGCCTGTGGGAGCAGCTCTACACCTAAATGCTTGCTCCTCCAGTTTCTGGGCTGTACTGGGCTGTGTGTGAAATCTTAAGAGGGGGTCTATCTCCTTGGACAGCCCTCTGGTTTCCAAGAAGACAGAAGAACTGTACAGTGCTGCTGCAAACCCCCTGCAGTTACTGCCTGGTGCGGTGGAGTAGCTTCACACCTCCCTTAGTGCTGCAAATCCATTGCTGCACTCTGCTGGCATTTAGGGGATAAAATCCACACATATGTGTTTATTATATAATTAATCAGGTAAATACAGGAAATGCATTGAGTCTTCCAGCTTTCTGCTGGCTTGCTCACTTCTGGTCAACCCCACAGTCCCATCTGAGCTGGAAGGGCAGAAAGCTGCTAAATTCTCCATGGAGATCTTTCCTCATCCCTTCCCTCAGCCTTACATGAGACTAGAAAACCCAGCACCCCCTCCAGGCTCATCTGCAAGATCCCACCACCACAAGATTAACCTCTAGATCCTGACCAGTGTCTCACTGGGGTGTTGATCTGCAAAAGGAATGACTGGGCTCAGGGGATTTCTGAAGCGCTGACCCCAACTCACCACACTCTGCCCTGTGCTGTCCCACTGAAGGGATTGACACCCCTGGTGGATATTCACTGTCTATTCAATTATACCTAAGGAATCCTGCCTCCCTCTCCCCCCAAAGACAGATACCTACGAGTTTCTGTCTCAACAGGAAGGCATCAAGCCTCTGTTCTGGAACACCTCCATTTAAAAAATAGCTCCATATTTGTTCACTTCAACATTAGCGTTCTATCAGCAAAAGCACTGTTCAGTGTTACTGCTACTGTTCAAACATGTTTTGGAGAGACCCACCTGCTAAACTCTTAGGGGTTTACAAGCTGCTACAAAATGAAGTTCAAAGCACTTGAAGGAAACAGGATGTGGCTTATCTCACCTTTTCCAACTGCTCTGCTAACCTTACTAGAGACCCATCTAGTCAGGAATATATATATATACTTATTTAATACATATATGTATTAACCAATTCCTTCCCATTACTAACTTCGAAACAAAGGTTTAGAACTCAATTCCTTTTGGGCAATTTTGTGCTCAACCATCTTCACAGATCCAAATGGCTGTGGTTGGGCCTCAGCATGTGAAAGCCAGAGAGACACAAGAACTTCTCAACCTATTGGGAGGCAAGAGGTAACATTAGCACCAGCACCACTGGTCTTTTGTTGCATAAAGATTGCCAGCAGCAGAAGCCAGGAGCACTATTTTGGCTTCCAGACCGATGGGACCCAACGTCTACTGGCAGTCATTTTCAGAGAGAACAGAAGAGGTGCCTTTTGAAAGACTGGAAGTCAGTTCTTATTCTGAAAGCACAAATCAAAATAGCTTTTCCTCAAAAAGAGGAAAAGTCTCTTGTCAATTTTGAGGCCTCCAGATCTGGGTTGCCCAGAGCCACAGATGCAGGAAGTTGGAGCAGCCAGGCAGCACCTACTACAGCTCATTGAACATGGATAGGAAATGCTGGTTCCAGTTCCCACCTCCAGGAACTGCTGTTAGTTTACACCAGTGCTTAATGTACCATTTTATAAGAAAACAGGTGGGCAAAATCTGAATTATGACAAGTCCACTCTGTGATACTACTGAAAAACACCATGAACTAAGTGTTTCTTCTACTGCAGGTTTGCCTTTCTCTGCAAGGGGAAAAGGCTTGTCACTTAGAGGAGATAAAATGTACTAAAGGTGCATTTCACCTGAGTTCTAGATCTCATGTAAAGTGTGGTAGGAAATTAATCCAACAGTGGAGATAGCAGAATCCAAGCAACTTACCAGGTCAGAAAAGGCACAGTGGCCTTCCAGTCATTCTCTTCTTCACTTCTATATTCCTGTCTCTGAAGGTACAGATGTTAACAGATTCCACCATACATGGATCCTAAATCCACTCCTTTCCTTTACTGCAGGGCGTCTGTAGCCAACTTCCCATGGTTTTTCCCATCTAGCACCATACTCACAAAGTCTCAAGGCACACAGGCACCTCCCCACCTTTGTGAGTTGAGACTGTGACTTAGTTCAGTTGGGGTTCAGATGTTAAGTCTTGCACAGACTGTGCATGTCCAGATGATCCTTGAGGTCCTTTCCAACCTGGTATTCTAGTATTCCATGTCTGTACTGGAATGCTACTATTTATGACATGCAACAGTTACTTTCTGGTATTTTGTGGAGTTCTAACTTCTTAGGATATTATTTCCATGACCACTGTTGGTAGATCATAGGAGAAATTTTTAAAGTACTATTTTAAGAGGTAATACAGTACATCTGTAAGCAATTACATAAAAGTACAAATGTTAAACCACAGTAACGTCCTTGAACACAATACAAGGAACTCTGATACTCTAAAATAAATTGTAGTAAGAAAGTGATGTGTTCTGGTTTACTTTTATCCTGCCACTCGGAAATCATGTTAATCATTCTTACCACTCAGCAGTCAGGGATAATATATTTACAACTCCCAATGAGACCATAATACTTTTTTTTCACTGAAGAAACTGACACAATAAGCCAAAAGAAAATTCACCTATACTGAATACTTCCATCTGAAAAAATATAAAAGACAGTAATTAAGAGTAATTTAGAATATTACTAGGTATCTTTACCAGTCCTGTAGTTCAAAGATTTGTTTTTCAAATATAAAATTTATTGCCATAAATGGATGATCTGCATGGAAGACAATGAAAGTGAACTGCTGACACTGTGCACTCTCAAAGTACACTCTTGCTGACATAAGCAAGAGATGAAAATTGGTCAACAAAAGCATCTGAACTTAAATAAACCCAAAGGACTTGGATTCTATTGGACTGTGGAGCAATCAACTTGGTAACATATGAACATACTGTTTTCACATGCGCAAAGCAGGACCTCATCTTCTGACAAAACCAAATCTTGACTACAGTCTACAGCTGTAGAAACTACCCACGGATCACTGAGCTCCTGGATGCCATCCCATGGCAGCAAGGCAGGAAGTCTTTGGTCTCCTGCAGCATGATCTGCAGTCTCTGCGCATAGTTCAACACCCACCTGGTTCAGTAGACCTCCTGCTTTTAAGCAGGTTGTTTGCAACAGAAAGGTGTGAGAGGAGAAGAGCAAGTTTTGACCCAATACAGCCTACCTCACCGCTTTGTGAAGCTGCCACTGCAGAAAACTCTCCAGAAACTGCACTCCCTTTTCAGTGAGGAAGAGACAGGGTCCATTTTTGGCAGTGATACAAATACACCACCCCACGGGATACAGGCAGATATTACTTTACTGCAGTTTAGGAGTCCCTCCTGTTACTGAAAAAGGCTACTGAGAAGGTAAACTGATTTCACAAATAATTTCAAATATTAAACTTTTCTCTCTCCTTATGATTCTTAGCAGCACTAGTAGAGTGTAGCAGGGTAGGAACTGGGACATGTACGTACAGAAACTAGATACAAAACAACAGTACTGCCAGAACAGTTATGAGTAAGTAAATCCTGGCTGCTAAGTTAGCTTACCAATTCAACATCAGTACTGCAGGCAAAAGGGTAAATTGGTATCAGATGAAATTACAAGGAATTGAGTTATATTAAGAATTAATTAAGATGAGGAGTCTAGTGTCTTCACCAGAAAACACGTCAGCATTTGCCAGAAAGAAACCACCTGCTGCTGTTAAGAAATCAGTCTGAAAATGTCACCCTTTTTCAAGACGAATTTGGTTTTATTTTTAAGTCACTGAAAGTTAACTGGCTAACACAGAGAAAGTATTCAGATTTTCTGCTGTAGCATTGCTTAGAACAAGCCAAAGACAAAAAAGAAAAACCAAAACACAAATAAAAATTCTTGGAGAACACTGTAAAAAGCAACAACGTATTACATGAACACCACTTCAACATCCGTGCTGGAATCAGTGGCTAGAGAAGACCAGCTCTACTTTATGTTTCTTCAGACTCAGTTTTTTGAGTTGAGGCTAAGAAATGTTTGCAAGGTAGTAAAAAGGAAGAGCTAAAAAACTTACAGTATCAAGTCTATTAATCTTCACAGCTTTAACTCAGTTTTATATAAAAATATACTATTTTATATATCCATAAATATAATACAGACACCAAAAACACACACCTACATCTCTTCAGTAATATTCTCATCTGGGCAACAATAGTATTCTACAAAACAGATCTGTCCATCTTCATTCCTAATCATATACTGCAGTGAAAGAAATCCTTGAGCATCTGTTCTAATGGACACCTTACAAGATAAAGCCAGTGCCTTTGTAGATGGTTTAAGCAAAGAAATCTTGTACCTGCAGAGGAAAAAAACAAGTCATGTGAAGAAAACAAGTTGTTCAGAAAGGAGCTGAATCATTACTCCCAGTTAAAGCCATAGAAAAACTAAAATTATAGAAATTAACCAGAATAATAGAAAAAACAATTAGCAACATACTAATTTGATCTTTTTCTGGCAACAACATCAGACAGACATTGCTATTCCTTAGCTTTTGATCACAAACACAGGTTTTTATCAGATGGGAAAAGTATTTCCCTCCTTTCCTGTACTAGTGAAATAAATGTTACAGTAACACAAAAAAAGGTGTCTTTAAACTTTCCAGCAAGAAAAGTTTAAAACTGGGACATGTACGTTTAGAAAAATACAAGAAACAAGAAAAGTTTAGAACACATGATCTGCCACAGAGAGCACTGATCACAGACTTCCTAACCTGTTTGTCTGGGTCTGGTTACAGTGGAATGCTTCTATCAAATCAGAGTCCTTAGAGTAGTCCAGATGTGCACTGCCAGCATTTCCAAAAGTGGATAACCTGGAAGACAAAAGGCAACACCTCAAAATACCTGACCCCAGCTCTCTAAAAACTCACCAGAATCAGTCCTCTTGAATATCAAAATGGCTGTTTCACAGAACACCACTGGTCGGTTTGGTTTATTTCAATAAAAATGCTAAACTGCCTGCAACAGTGTCACATTTACCAGGCTGTCAATGTGTTCATTACTATGTTAATTAGATTATATATTACTCATTCCAATTTTTCTTAAAATAAAGCAGTATTCTAAAACAGCTCCTCCCTCTCCACCCTGAAAACTTCCAGTCCTTACCAACAGAGGCCAAGTATTAACATTTCAGTTGAAAGCACTGTTTCGAGTACCTGAAGTAGGGTTTATCTGGAGACATGGTAATCTGCATAACTTCACTGGTCATATCCAGCTCAGCAAATGCTTTTCGTAATCCCTCTGACTGAAGGATGATTTTATTAACAACCTTTGTACTGCAGAAATCAAAGTCCAACAAGTCCTGAGGTTCTTGAGTGTTTATTTTACACACTGTAACTACCCCTCCTTCTTCCAAGAACAGCATCAAGGGATAACCATAACCACGATAGCACATCTTAAGGGCTGTTGATGTTCCTGTAAAAGAGAATGAAATTTACATTCTTCAGAGAGCTAGCTAACACATCTGATCACTTTAGAAACTTCACATTTTACTGCTTTACAGGGCACAGATCAATTTGATTTAGCATGTTTGGTGTGGCTTTCAACAGACCAATGTAGCATGCTTAATGCAGCCTCCTAAGCACCAGATGAAGTGCAAAATGAATTTATGTCTGTAGACACCAGTTTAAATCCCCCTTGATTTGACCTGTTTGTGTGACCTGTTTGTGTAATGTGCCAAACAGGTCACGCCAGCTGTGACAATGAAGCTGGATATGCTACAGATGGATGAGTGGCACTGGAAAATCCTCCACGGTCCTGAGGCTTTCTCTGGCTCGCATCATAGAATCATAGAATAGTTAGGGTT